ACAGGCTTTATTGGTCGCAACAATATATACATAGAGGGAGGGAGGAGGGGAGATCAAAGTACAAGATTTTGAGCAGAACATAGAATAAAGAACCCTTCTTTTCCTTAAATTCGGTCAACCCCTCAAAGTTAAGAATACGTGCATGCTGATGCTCTTGCTCATGCTCATGCTCATGCTCTTGCTCATGCTGACCATGATTATGAGTAAAAGTAAAAAAAGGCAGAAAAGTGAGGGAGACAACAATGACATGGAGAGTTAGTTTGTAGTCGGAAGTTGTTGGGTTCTCGCAGGCTTTCGCCTCATCCGTACTTTACCCGCCGCCGACTCCACCCTCTCTGCCACCGCTTCAGGGCACGCGCAACCTTTTTTCTCATGGGAAACTGCCACACCTGTTGTCACTTTAGGTGGACACTAATACCATTTGACCATTATCAAATCTTCTTACTTTTTCTTAAATTTTCTTGCTTATTGGCCCTCAATCCATTGCCCAATTAACAACTTGATTCATTTTTATGAAGAACCGGATTAAGAATTATCTACTCCTCGATTCTAGTACCTAAAACCAATTTAACTTTAATTCGAAATGAACTCAACAGATTGCTTTGATTCGATTTGTGTGGCTTTTATTTATTTTTTTTTAAAATGTTTACTGTCAATTGTGCAATCAATTTCCAGGTTAAAATATTCCCATTTTGTGTTCAAAAATAGAAAAAAAATGTTTCGAATATTTATCTTAAATCTTATGAAAAAATATTTCCCAGTTTGCAAGTTGTTTTTGAGATTTTTTTTTTTTATTGCTTTTCATGTTAAGTTTAGTCTATTTTACAACAAAAACTTTATCAAAATTTTGTTACCATCGTCATAGTCAAGGAGAGGTCAAAGTCTGAGTCTTGACTAACATTCATCATCCATGAACGTCATATTTCGAGTTCACTAAGGTGATTTGATTTGATCGTGTCAATTGGTATCTATATTTGAAGAATGATTGTATAAACATAATGAAAAGTTATAGACTAATATTAATTGTAAGAAATAAATTTGTGGGATGATCGGAAAAACTGTTTGTACGCCTTGGGTTACTGATGAATATGTGACAGGATTTTAGCGGCTGGACTAATTGTATTTTTGTGGAAGATTGTATGAGATATTGCTAAGTGTAAATTCTATAAACGAAGTGTTAAATTAGAGTATACGTTTAGCAAAACTCCTGGAATGATGGGATGATATATTAAGGGCAACAATGCAATTATTTATAGAGGAAATTGCAAAAAATATCCACTTTTACATAGTTATTTGTAAAACTATCCAAAATTTCTTCAATGTCCATTTTACTATAGTATATACCAAAATGCCCTTATTAACAATTTTAGATTCCACAATGAAGACAAAATTTTTGACCAATTTTAAAAAAAAAATTGCTTCACTTTCATCGAGGGTATAATATACAATTTGGTACCAAATTTGACCATTTTTGCAAGAGTTATGAAAAATTAGACACTTTTAAATTGATAAGCATGAAATTGACCATTTTTGTAGATTTTCCTTATTTCTAATGCCTTTTATATGAATTGAAATTATTCATAATGTCAATAATGCCTTTTATTTGAATTGAAATTATTCATAATGTCAAGCACAGCTGTGGACAGAAGGGAAGTGGAAAACCATAAATATTTGCTTTTTCATTATGAGAGCTTTTGGGGTGCCCTAATTACAATATCAAAGGAGATGACATCATACAAAGACACGAACATGCATCATTTTCGAAAGCTTCGATGATGTCCAAATTAAAATTCAAGTGCACTTTATGTCATCTCAAGACATTTCACTATCACCTTATTAATTCTTCTGCCCTTTTACCTTACTGATACAAGCACAAAATTAAGACTCTCACTGTTTTTGTACCAAATTACATAAATAATGAAACAGAGGGTGTTGATAAGAATTAAAATTAGATTTTTAGTAGATTTTGATAAAAGTTTTTGAAATGTGCGGTTGAAAAGTTGTCGGACCCATGAAAGATGTGGTTAATATTAATTGTTTGACTTTAACTTGAATTAAAATCAGATTTTAATTCGGACCAAACATGTGCTCAATTTGCTGTCTCGACTACTCTTTTATCCATCTTGAGCACAATCAAACCATTTGTTAAGAAAGTCAACAAACTTAAGTTGTCGTGGTGACTTTATCGTCATATCATGTTTATACATATTATATTGCTCGAAACCCTAATGTGAACTTCACGGTTTATATGGAAAATGGTCATAGACAGATTAAGCCCCAACCTATATTCATTTCTATACATTTTTTAAATTATTGAGTATGCAATCAAATTAATAGGAAAATAATATTAAAAAGTGAAAAAAAATCGTGAATGATAATTGTTTGTGATTGCCATGTTGGCCTATGGTATATATAAATTTTAATTTTAATCCTACAAAAATTGGATAGGCCTCTAAGTCACCTCAAAAGGTACGAGGCAAAGATTGATTTCGAGTATAGAAAAGCAGAAGGAAGTTCGAGCATAGCATTAATGTATCATCAGCCTTAACTATCCAGGAGTTCTATCTTCAATGTTAGGCACATTAACTGATGGGAGATATAACGTTGGTGTATTATGGGTATTGAATAATGTATTGAAGAGGGGACAACATGTGCATTAACTTCTTTGGTTAAAGCCCCGACAATAAGGACGGTCTTAGCCGTCTATACATACAAACGTTAATACAGAGATTTTGGGTGTAAGAAAATCATTCTTTTTCTGCTCCTAAAACGCTCATTTATCAATCTTTGAATAAAACACCAAGTAATATGTATCTAATATAGCAAGACATAATTCATATAGCCGCCTTACACTTTCAGAGCATGTCTTTGTGCTGTGTCTGCATTATTTTTTAATCCTTTATAGCAAAAACTACGTAGATCCTCTTAGCACGCCTTGCGACAACATCGGACAACACGTCAACACCCCACCCTACCCTACCCTACCCCACTATACTCACGCGCATTTATATATATACACGTATTCGTCTTCGATTTCATCATCATCTGAATATCAATTCCTCATACACATACTTTCTTTCAGTTTTCTGTCGCTTTAAGATTTTTGTAACTTTTTGAAAGAAATGCATTATCAAGCGGAGTTATATGGGAATTACTATGCTTCCACAGTGAGGCAGAGCGCGGCGGTGGACCCTTTAGAGAGGGTGGTGCGGCTAGCATCCGGCAGCGCGGTAGTGATATTCAGCCTTAGCACATGTTGCATGTGCCATGCAGTGAAGAGGCTCTTTTGTGGCATGGGAGTGAACCCAACTGTTTATGAGCTAGACCAGGATCCTAGAGGGAAGGAAATTGAGAGGGCACTAATGAGGCTGCTTGGTGGTGGCTCCTCCGTGCCGGTGGTGTTCATCGGCGGAAAACTCGTTGGTGCTATGGATAGAGTAATGGCGTCACATATTAATGGCACTTTGGTCCCACTGCTCAAAGAAGCTGGAGCCCTCTGGCTTTAATGGCTATTTTTTAGATTCTTAGGAAAAAAACAAAAGGGGTTTGGTTCTGTTTTAGTTTCTTGATATCAAGCCCTCTATTTTAGAACATCTTTTCTTTTTGTCCAACTCTTTCTTGGGAGTTCTGGAGTTGTTACTCGATTTCTAATTAAGTACTGATTTAACTCTGAGCAATCCTTTGTATAGAGAATGAAGTAAAAAGTTTGACATTCATGTTTTCTTCTCATCAATCTTAATCCCTTTACACAGCAAGAACCAAAACTAACGTCACTTGGAATAAAGTCATGTCCATTGGCCCCATCGTGATGTATTCATTTTCCAGTTTTTGCTGGTCTATTCTGGGAAATAAAAGTTGCAGATACAAGGGAAAATAAAAACAGAATTTGTACGAGAATTTGAATTCCACTCACATGGGAGGCAGATCCCATGTGAATTAAATATTGCCATAAAACTGGGATTTACTTGTTTGTGTATATTCTGTTCGACTTATGTGGGTATTTTTCCTGTACTCATAGCATTGCTCATTTTGGAAATCAAAACGAAAAACTTACACGAAGATGAGCAGCAAACTACTATTCACCACTATACTCTTGAACTAGTATATGTCGAGTATCTCTTTCAAGAATTTGTTACATAGAGAAGAAGTGAAGCTTGCGTTAGTTTTGTTTTCTCCGACTACACGAAATTAATGTAAACAATGATGTAATAATATATGCAGGAGAAAAAATCAAAGCCTTCGTATAAGTAATTAAGAAAAGAATTGTTGAATTTCAAACTAAACTATTCCTCTATTCTCTAGCATCTTGATTTTACGGAGCAACCCTTCAATGGTTTCAGAAGCTTCCTGCAACAACAAGAAATGATTCCATTACATTCGAAAAGATAATCAAAATTGACAACCCGAAGAACATAGTAGTGATAAACAGTAAACGAAGAATGATAGAAGTAAAACCATCCCGACCTTTATTCTTTTCCTCAAACACAATTCCTCCTGATCTCTCCTGCTTCTTTCTTCTGCGAACGTACTAACAAAAACTTCGAATTTTTCCAAATTTTGCTGCGTATCTTGAAGCTGTTGCAAGAAATGGCATGGCAATTATTAAACATTAATGAATCAGTTTCCCGAAGGAACTTGTCGAGTCTGTTTGACTAGATGCATAAGTTACATTGACTCCACTTCATGAAATTAGAAATTATGGTATTGTTCTGCAACTATTTCGACTGATCCAAAATCCCAAGACAACTTACTTGATTTTGAAGTAATGAATTTCTGTCCCGTTCAAACACCAAATTCTGCAAGACTTCCTCTAAACTGCATGCAGAGAATTGAAAAAGAAAAGGCCAAAGTCATGATTCAGCAACGAAAGCACGTGATCAAATTTATTATATGAAGTCGTAAATAAGTTCCATATTATTATAAATAAGAATTAAATTAACCACCTATTTCGCAAGGAATTATTTTCTTCTGTCAAACTAAGGACCATTTCTGTTGTGGAAGGATAAGAAGCCGCATATGCATCTCTGCTAACCATTTCAGCCTGTTTATGATAGGAAAACAACTCGCCATCAAACCAGGAAAAAGGTGTTAACACTTCAATTTTATAAAACATGTTCGTCATGAACTCTAAATGCGCTACTACTTCAGAACAATGAATCTCCATGAGTCAGTACTTTATAAAAATTAAAATAGTTTGAATGCAAAAATCATGAGCTCTAAACGCGCTAATACTTCAGAACAATGAATCTCCATGAGTCAGTACTTTATAAAATTAAAATAGTTTGAATGCAACTTAAAACATGCTTGATAGAGCAAATAAAAAGGTTTTTGGATGAATGGCATGAAAAAAATAAAGGCGAAAAGGTAATAAATTGTTCTGCCATATCAAGCCGCAAAAATGCCGAACATGTAATTTACCTTCACACTCAAGTTTTGAGTAATTTGATTTGATACAGGTTCTACTTGAGAGCTCCCACTAATTGAAGATGTATTACTATGATTTTTAGCTTGTGCCTCGGACTGAGTTGCTCCCACATTTTCAGTGGCATCAATTGGTGATCTATGATCGCTATTATTAGTCGATTGCAGCACAGATGCACCATCATAAAAGACACGCTCCTTTCGTTTGGACTTGGAAGAGGATTTGCCTGTAGCAGGAGCTTCTTTCACAGGGGAAACTGAGTTCTTTGGCTGCCGACGTGGGGCATAGCCAATTAAATGGCAGTTTGAAGACCTAACTTAAATGGAAAACTAAGAATTTCGATTAGTAGTTTTATAAAATTTTCAGTATAACACACAACTTGTGAACAAAAGAACGAACCAATAGTTTTTCTGCATAAAATTGAGCCTGGCCTCGAGTCTTGATAGCACAACTGTGCGCTCAAACCCCTGTTTATCATGTGCTGGTTCGATAAAATTAGCTTCCAATACACCTGAGGCATAACGGGTAAGGTTAACAAAAAGAATAATCAGTCCGGCACACAAAAAAAAGGATCTAAGTGAAAAAAAAAAACCGCCGGGATTCAAGTTGCTTGCAGAAAATAATACCTATGACTCCTCGGCCATCACTTCCAGCAGCATTCCAGACCCTCCAAAAAGGCTGACAATGAAACAAATTTAGATTAACACAACAACAAAACCTGACTCCAATATAATAGCAAGCATGCTGACAAAAAAAAATCTATTTTAAATGGGGGTAATATTTGGAAAATTATATTAAAACCAACCTTGATAAGCCTATTTTTATGGTAAATATTGAACCCTTGAACATCAATATGACACTTAGCATCTTTAACAAAGCCAATAGTCCCAACCGCTACCATCTGTTACAATGAAAAAAGAAGAACCGAGTAATTATGTCGTCAAGATAGGCAACGATGAAGTCACAATATAAAAGTCTACATTTTTTGGATCTTTCAAAGCTGAGTCTGTAGGTGTAGGCCTATATGTAATCTCCTTAGATTGCATCATATCATTAACTATGTTATGATGCTCCACTTCTTTTCCCCGTAGAATCATTTGGAAACCAGTTGGAATCCTTAGGTACAAAATTGAGGCATAGTTCTACAGAAACATGAAAAGAACAGAAATAATTAGAGAAGAAAGCCACTCAGCAAATATCAAAGTATTAAAAAAAATATAGGGACTTAATTAAACTTCATGTTCTACCAATGCATACTTAATGAACCAATTAAGGTAGGGAGAAATAAGAACACAACAACAACAATCCAAAAAATAATGGCAAAAAGGCCAAACAGAATAAAGTGGAAAATAAAAAAATACCCTTAAAGAATGCCGATAAGTTAGAAAATGCCTAGAGTTTGGGTACATCTTTGCCATCTCTATCTTTTTCTCATCTCGGCTGACACCTCTAATTTGAATATCCTGAGAAAAAAAGTGGAAAATAATATGAGTCTCCTTATAGTTATTACTTGCAAGAAGAACACCGGAATCAGTATACTGGGGTGAGTATTCAGATAAAAATATAGTGTGAGGGCATCCAAAGCCTACATGTTGATCCGTGTCAAAATCAAGTTCTGGTGCTCCTTGGTCATCTTCCCACAGATTGTATATAACTATGCGTGTCCCTTGATCTTTGAAGGAATTAAACTACAAGAAAATAATAGCAAGAATCATGGACAATTAAAAAATATACTAATGCATCATCAGAATAATTAAAAAAATTGTTTTTACGCTATTAGGATTAACATCTATACACTACCTGTTGAAGGAGATCTTCTTCACTTCCATATGGAGACCACTGCACAATGGTTCTAAGATTTCTTTCCCAATCAACCAAGGTAGAGCGTACCATCTTGTTCCAGGCCTCGCCTCTTTTCTCATAATCAATCTGTTTATCATAGTGAAAAAATTAAGTGTCCGAAATATTTGCATGTATATGCACACAGAGACAAGCTTCAAGTATAACGTTAGTAAAATTAGCATATAATAAAGATAATGCAACATCCATTCTACACACCATTCACCAATGTACTCCATCCACTAATGATAATATGAATATATTCATTAAAGTGGTAGCTTTTACACATAAATCATAGATCATACCATGGGGACCACAGTATCTTCCTTTCCGGTTTCCATCAAGAATGTGTAGGATAGCAATCCAATACTCTGTTTTGCACTACAGGAAAATAAAATGAAATAAACTAATCAGTCCCATACGGTGAAACTTGGAAGAGTTCAGTTCCGAAAACACAATGAGATGATTGAATAGCATCAATGGCAGTGGCAGCTAAAAACGCCATAAACACAAATCTGATTTAATGATAAAGCAACTACCTTCTTCCATCTGTCCCTCGACAACGTGAGAACACAATGACATCTGCCCCAAGCCTCATAGTACTAGTCTTGAAACCATTACCATCTGGTGAAAATTTTAAAAATAATAAATACCAAAATAACCAGAATTTGATACATATGATTTCTACATAATGTAATAACTCACATTGCCCAATAGTGTTGGGCATTTTGCTTTTCTCAGAATACCCTAGAGACATGCACTTCCGCATTTTATCAGGATTCATGCCACCGCCATTATCTGTAATCAGCAATTGTAAATATTAAATGAATATGCAGTCACCAGCAGCAACTTAAATTTCTTTGAAATTTTCAAAAAGCTTCCATGTTTTTTAATTGGTTTAAAGACATTACTGATATAAGTTTAATAAAATTAGAACTTATACATTGAAAGTATAATATTAATTCAAGTACTTGAAAATTTTCACCATCCCCCCCTTTTATGAGACTTAGGGTCAATGGTAGAAAGGAATACTAAGGTGTACAAAACTTTTGTTGGCATTTTTGTGCAGGGAAAGACTTAAAACCTCCCAACCCCTAAAAAATTAAAAGGAAAAAGAATTGAATAGAAAGAAAAAACCGAAGTCAGAAAAAGAGTAACTAAAGAGAGAAAGAGCTAATACCTTCTATCGACAACATCTTACTATTGTCCTTCCCATTGTTGAGCACATCTACGTGGACACAGGTTGCTCCATTGTTAGCCTGAAAATCAATTCGTGGTTAGATGGTCGGCAAACCAAAACATTAAAGAGAAAAATGCATTTAGCTCCTCTTTTAATATAAAAGTCAAGTACCTCATCTAAGGCATTATCTAGAAGCTCAGCAAAAGCTGGAACGCAGAAACCATGGTCAGAAAAGATAAGTTCAAATAAAGCTAAAATCTCACACGCTTGATTGAATATTTACCTCCCAAAGCCCACTTATGGCTAGTTGCATTTGAATGTAAGAATTTAGGATGAATCCTGACATGATCCATGCCACCTGCAGGATGAATCAAGAATATAAATAATAAGCAAGTCATTCTTATGGTTTCTCTTAAAAGCTTGAGATAATCTAACTCAAATCTAATTTAGCAAATTCTCATTACACATCTCGACAACAATGCAGTTAAGTTTTATGCTAAGTAATGACCACTAGAGGACTTCAAAAACATAAGAATAATCCCTCGTCAAACTCTTATATCTGAGAACATTAAGATTTCTTATTTTCACTTACAAGGAAAACTAAAATGCAGTCTTTTAGCTTACAATTAGTTAATGCATAAAAACCAAGCCTTATTCTCAATTAGACCCTTCACAATCAAAATATATCATGTTAATTTTGGTCTATAGTCTCCCTCTTCAACATATTTCACTTGGACAGCATAACTCTAAAGCTCTCATTGAATAGTTCGATCAATCATTAGATGCTTCTTCCATTTATTTAACATCTTTTTACTCATTAAGATCTCGATGAAAAATTTGTAATCCAACCCAATTTTTTCTCATCTCATCCTCTTTATAGCCTGTCTCACTTCTGAGTCCTAAATACAGTTGAATTTGACAAATCCCCAGTATCATGGGAGTTTCTCGTCCTCTGACATGAAGATATCTTCCATTAAAAAATAAATAAGTAAATAAATCGAACAAATAATCATGAATATGAAGGCACATACTAATACAATACCAAGCTATCAATTGACATAAATATCAACAGTTTAGTTCATACAATCAAATCCCGAATTCCATACACTAAAAACAAGAAATAAACCAAATCAGGCTATATAACAATATACAAATTAACTCTAGAAGATATAAAAAAAAACCAAAAAATTGAAGGAAAAAGGGAAGCATTAATTACCAGGTCTTGAACTTGAATCGTCGTCATTCTTGCGCTCGTAATCCCCTGCTTTCCAGAATTGCTTACAACTGCGGACCGCAGGAGGATTAACTGCTTTATTCTTAAAATCATTACACGAATTCTTAATACTTTCCTGTTTCACTACAATAGGTGCGTTGGACAATCCTGCATTAGAATTATTGTTCTTTTCAATGGTCGATGATGTAGCTATTTCCTTCTGAATGGCCAAGCGTTCTTCGGGTGTAAGCGGGTCAAGAAAACCGACAGGAAGTACTGCCGTTTCAATCCTCTGCTTCTTCCTCAGGTTCCCTTCAATACCCCAACCGTCCAAATCGGAGTCATCAGAATCAAAACTATCACAATTGCTGCTACTACTGCTGCTTAAAGAAATTACGCTAGACTGTGATGGTAATATCTTGGTTTTCTCCTCCTCTGTGGGTGATTTTTCCATGTTTTCTTCTTTGATATTTTGACTCATTTAGAAACTCAAAACTAGGGTTCCTGAGAGAGATTTTGAGTTCTTTTGGAATTCTAAGAGTAGAGATGGCGCGCGAGTTGCGGTTCTGTGACTTCTGTCAGTTTTTATAGGATTCTGAAAATCTCAACCGTTTCCTACGTGGGGAACGCGAAAAGGTAATAGAATAAAAAAAAAATTAAAAATTACACCCCCTCTTTACTATATTTTTTTAATAATATTTATTAATTTCACCTTTTTATTTAGCCCTATTTGATGGACATTATATTAAAAAAAAAAAGGAAAAAAATAGTGTTATGAATAGTGATTTTTTAGAAAATATATGGTTAAAAATTAAAGAAATTTTTTGAATTTACGTGTAAAATATTTTATTATATGAATATGTGATTGAAAAATGAGTATGAGAAAGAAAAAGTTTTAATTTAAAGATAGTAAGATGTACTTTATATAAAAAAAAATAGGAATACGAATAGTGATTTTTTAGAAAATATATGGTTAAAAATTATTAATTTTTTTGAATTTATTTGTAAAATATTTTATTATGTGAATATATATGATTGAAAAATGAGTATAAAAAATAAAAAGTTTTAATTTAAAGACGGTAAAACAAGGGCTTAATATCTTTCTATATAAAAAGTGCTTATTTAACGGAATTTGTTGGTTTAACGGAAAAACTAACGGAATTTGTTTTTAACGGATTATGTAACGGAATTTCTTATTTTAAACAGGCAGCTGCACCTTTCTTCAATGTTTTTATCATAACTTTGCATTTCGATGTTCGATTGAGACGATTCAAAATGCGTTGGAAAGCTAACCCATCTGGCTACAACTTTGATTCAGATATTATTTTCCAATTCGATCACTTTCTATGTTAAAAATATGTCTCAATATAATGGACTATGTAACGGAATTTTTCGTTTTAAACAGGCAGCTGCACCTTCTTTCAGTGTTTTTAATTTAACTTTGTATTTCGATATCCGATTGAGGCGATTCAAAATGCGTTAGAAAGCTAACTTATCTTGCTACAACTTTGATTCAGATATCATTCTCCAATTGGATCACTTTCTATTCCAAAAATAGGTCTCAATATAACGGACTATGTAACAAAATTTCTTATTTTAAACAGGCAGCTGCACCTTCTTTCAGTATTTTTATTATCACTTTGTATTCTGATCTCTGATTGAGACGATTCAAAATGAGTTGGAAAGCTAACTCATCTGGATACAACTTTGATTCGACATCATTCTCCAATTTGATCACTTTCTATGCCAAAAATATGTTTCAATATAACAGATTATGTAACAGAATTTCTTGTTTTAAACAGGCAGCTGCACCTTCTTTCAGTGTTTTTAACATAACTTTGTATTCCGATATCCGATTGAGACAATTCAAAATGAGTTAGAAATCTAACTCATTTGTTTACAA